GCTGCCTTTTCTTGCAGGTAACTTTGAGCAGGCCAATGAGGAGCTCAGAGCCATTATCAAAAAAATCTGGAAGCGAACGAGCATGAAGCTTTTGGAACAGGTCATCCCGCCTATTGGAGGTGCGTTACCTGGGGTATGTCACCCCAGAGGGGCACAGCCACGCCTGCTCGGGGTCTCAGCTGCTCCAGCAACTTGTGGCGTTGTGGTAGGCGGTATCATCATGTTGCTTTCATCCCCTGCAGATGATGAGGTGACAGTGGGCAAATTCTATGCTACTTTCCTCATCCAAGAGCATTTCAGGAAGTTCATGAAGCGCCAGGAGGAGTATTACGGGTACCGGCCCAAGAAGAACCCGGTGGAGATCCAGGTTGGTAGCATGTGAGTGATGCGGGCAGGCAGGGTGTGGTGGGGAGCTCTGCAGATCAGGGAGGAGGCTTCCCCCAGCTCAGAAATGCCCAGGGTCACTTAGAGAGACAGAGCTGCACAGACACCTTTGTGCCTCAGGCTCTGGAAATGAGTTGGCCCCAAGTGAGCCAGCGCTGGACTGGCCATGAGCACTCCACCGATGAGGGCGGCCTTAGTCTCCAGGATGCAGGTGACTCTGGAAGCAAAGGAGATTTTTGACTCTTTGGCCCCCTGACTTTGGCCACAGAGAGAGCTCACCAGGGTCTGATGCCTCACCAAGCAGTTTTAAGACTAGGAAACCCCCATCACAGACCAGTGTCTGGGGTGAATGCTGTTCCTTCAGGCCCTGACCCACCTAGTCTTCTCCTGTCCCAGGGCCTTTTCCCTTTCCTCACGTTAGCAGTCTTGCAGATAGTTCTCTGCTCTCTCCATCATCTCATTGCCCAGTGCAGCATCAGGTGCCAAGGGGCTGGTGCGGCTGATCTTGAGCAGGATCACTGCAGTCAGAAAGGCTTTCACAGCCACCCTGAGGAATGCTGTCAGGGTGGGGTGGGAGAGAATTTGTGTGCCTGACCAGAGCAGCTGGGATGTCCCCAGCCTCTCCTGACCTGGTGGGAAGGAAAGCACTTGTAGAGATAAAAGACCGGGCCCCCGAGGTGCAAGAAGAGCCAGGCTCCAGATCAGAGACAAGGGCCCAGCAACCCCTTGGGCGTCACCAGCCCGACCCTTCGTCAGGCTGCCCTTAGCACACCCCTGAGGGGGACAGCACGAGCCCAGGAGCTGTTTCAGCAAGCGCAGAGCCAGCCAGTTGCAAGGCGACACATGGCCTGTCCCTGGTAGAGACCTGGCAGAGCAGCATGGCCTGCCAGGTGAGCATGCTTCATCGTGTTTCCCTCTCCAAAGCCCAAAGTGAGAGGGGTGGTGGAGCCAGGCCACATCCAGCTGCGCCTTCTTGTCCCCACCAGGCCGGGCTGAGGAGCATCGAAGAAGAAGCTGCTCCTGAAATCCATCGGGCCATTTCTGGGGATCTGACTGCTGAGGAGGAGCTGGAAAGAGCGATGGTGGAGGCTGCCATGGAGGAAGGGATATATAGGGTGAGTGTAGTGCTTAGGGCACCCCAGGTGGTGGTGGCCCCAGCTGGCCCCCGTTGCAGTGTGCTGGCGGTAGATCAGCATGGCTGCCAGAAGCTGGAGGGCAGTCCACAGCATTGAGCCTGACCATGAAAGACAGTGTGGACCACGAAGATGGATGGACGCTTTTTTCCTTTCCCTGACGTCCCCGGTTTCCTCTCTGTGGAAGGCCCTTGCCCATGTGCCTGGCAGGGCTGCGCTGGATGGTGACCCACAGGTCTAGAGGGTCCCATTCACACCTTCTGCCAGGCTAAGGCAGGACAGAAAAAAAAAAGCAGGAATAGATTCACTTCTCTCCCTGGGAGTCTTCAGCAGCTTGGGCAGCTGCGATGTCGCAGGGTTGCACCTCCTGCTGGGTCCAGAGGTGCCACCAGCTCAGGCTGGCCACAGTCATGGCAGCATTTGTCACGCACAGGGCTGGCTCTGTTCCTGGTGCTACTGCGTGACCATCACCACCCAGTGCTTCAGTTTCCCCACCTGATCAGCGAGGCTTTTCAAACTGCAGTTTGCAGGGCTTGAGCACAGAGATGAGCAGAGAGACTGCTCTTCCCCACCGCGGGAACGGCCTCGGAGTAGCCCCAAGCTCCAGGCCTCCCCTGATGCCCTCCCTGTTGGTTGCAGAGGACAGGTGGCTTGTTTGGCCAAGTCGACAGCTTCCTGGAGCCCAGCAGCCCCCTGCAGCCCCAGGTGGCCAGCCAGAGGCCCCTGCAGTTCACAGAGGTGGGCAGCGAGGACCTCGATTCCCCCGTCTTCCTCGATGACTTGCCCCGGGAAGGCAACACCAACATCAACAACGCCAACCGCAGTGCCTGGCTGGAGGGGTAAGGGCCTGTGAGCCTCGCATGGGCAGGCA